AGAGCTTCCTGGCTTTCAGGGCCCCCGAGCCCTGGCCCAGGCTGCCCAGGGGGGCTGTGGAGTCTCCTTCTCTGGAGATATTCACCCCCCGCCTGGACGCTGTCCTGTGCCCCCTGCTCTGGGTGAGCCTGCTTGGGCAGGGGGCTGGCGCTGGGTGAGCTCCGGAGGTCCCTGCCAACCCCTGCCATGCTGGGATTCTGGGATTTCCAGGCTCATCTCTGTAAGCTGTCTCAGAGGTTTCCAGTTTTACCCAGGCTTAACCGTACAGCAGAAGCTGCTGCTGGATTTCAGCCGGCATCATCAAATTTTATGAACTAGTTCCTGCGTGTTTTCGGTTCTGCTCATACTGTAGGCAAAATCCGTAACAGAGCTTGGACAACAGCATGAGCAGCAACACAGAGCTCTCAAAGTATATTCAGGAGCGTAAGATCACACAAACCAACTCCAGATCTCCACGTCCTGACACTTTTCAACAACTGCAGAAACCAGCTGAATTGGTAATCAAGTTATCACTAGTGAAGGAACGCCATGGGATGCTCTCCAGTCATCCGGCAGAATGCGGATGCTGCGCAGAGCAGCAGCAACAGCAGAGCAAAGCAGGACGAGCTTCAAGGTGGATTCAGAAGATCACAGCCACCTTGTTCCTTTCCGAGCGCACCACGAGGCAACCAGTTCCAACAGGAGGGGAGTTTGGGGTTAATATATACAAAATTGATTCAGGATCCAATTTGTTTCCTCCTGACTACTGAAAGATACTGGGCAACAGCGATTTCCCAGACCGGTCCAAATTTCAACAGGAGGTCTCGTGCCGAGAGGTTGGTGTTGCTTCAACGAGCAGAGCCACCCAGCCTCACAGGCTTCCTTGTGTTTTAACCCTGGCCATGCTGGTTTTCAAGCTTACCAGGATGTCAGAAGAGGAGTCATCCCACCATCTCCCCACGCACAATTTCTCTTACAGCATCTGCATTGTATTGCTCCCCCTTCTGCAGTAGCTTCAGCTCTCCTGGCTGCTTGCCCTTCACAAAAACTGCTCATTTCCTTTATGATGTATGGAGATTTTACGAGCAGGAGCACAGCATCTCTTCCAAAGATTATTTTATTTGCTTATATCCTGAAAATCCCACCAGGAAAAAGGAATCTATGTAGGGTAATTTAAAACTGCTCCTAAAATAATGCCAAGGCTGGACTAGTCTTCTATTAAAATTGCGTATCAATCCCAGCTAAAGCAAAAAGTAAGAGTGTGCTCTGCCCTTGCACACGAAGAGCTTTCAGGGGGCTGGGGGGTTGTGTTTTGGTTTGTTCTTAAGGTCTACATTGAAAAAAAATAAAAATAGATGATTATTTATATAGACTCTCTGTAGACACGTTGAAGCTTTTCAGACAGGGAGATTTTATAATTTAAGACAGACGGACAGCAAGGGGGGACGGCCAACAGGTGGGCACACGTGAAGAATGAGACAATGGGATCACGCAAGGGGCTTACAGGATGCTCAAGTCATTAGTTCGTTCATCTCCATAGGGAACACATGGCACGGAGCAGCGCGTTTGTTTGGGGGGTTTTAAACATCACTCTGCTATCAGCTAGAGCACGTCGGAGCAATGAGAGAGGGGAGCAAAGGGTGCTGGGGAGGAATCCTGGGAATGGACGAGAAGGGCACCACTGTGACCCCGCACAGCTGCGCTGACTCCATCCCTCCCTCCAGCACCCGGGGAACTACAGACCAGTCAGCCTGACCTCAGTACCGGGGAAGATTATGGAGAGGTTCATCTTGAGTGTGCTCACCAGGCACATGGAGGACAATCAGGGGATCAGGCCCAGTCAGCATGGGTTCATGAAAGGCAGGTCTTGCCTAACCAACCTGATTTCCTTCTACGACCAGGTGACCCGCCTGGCAGATGAGGGAAAGGCTGTGGATGTTGTCTACCTGGACTTCAGCAAAGCCTTCAACACAGTCTCCCATAGCATTCTCCTGGAGAAGCTGGCAGTTCATGGCCTAGATGGATGTACTCTTCGCTGGGTTAAAAACTGGCTGGAAGGCCGAGCCCGAAGAGTCGTGGTGAATGGAGCTAAATCCAGTTGGTGACCGGTCACAAGCGGTGTCCCCCAGGGCTCAGTCCTAGGGCCAGTCTTGTTTAATATCTTTATCAATGACCTGGATGAGGAGACTGAGTGCGCCCTCAGTAAATTTGCAGATGACACCAAACTATGTGGTAGTGTTGATCTGCTTGAGGGGAGGAGGGCTCTGCAGAGAGACCTGGACAGG